CCCTCTGCCACCATCACCCATGCCACCTTCTCTTTATTTCTCACCCCTGCCCCTTCCCCACTGGCTCCGTGACAACTGCGCCCCTCACCACCCCTCCAGTCCCCTGGTGCCAGCTCCTCCTCTGCCCCAAGTCCCAGCTCTACCCTTGCCCCATCTGCCTCCTTGGTGCCTGCTGTTTCCTTTGCCCCCTCTGCCTGCCTGGTGCAAGTCCCTTCCCTCACCCCCCTTTGGGACCCCTGGTCTCAGCCCTTCCCCTCACCTCAGCACTGCCCCACCCCTCACCTCTCCTCCTAACCTCTGGGTCCCACCCCTCCCTTCATCTTCCCTCTGCCACCCTGGTGCCCACATTTCCCTTCACACCCCTCTGCCCCCCTAGGTCCTGCCCTTCTCCACACCCCTCTCTCTGCCCCCCTTCTGCTCACCTGCTCCTTCAACCCCCATTCTGCCCCTTTGGCACCAGTGCCTGCCCATTTGCTCCCCCCCATGGTTCCACCTGCCCCACTCCTCATCATCTCATCCCCTGGCAGCTCACCCTCCCCTTGATTTCCCCTGCCCCATTGGAGCTCCCCATTCCCTCACACCCCTCTGCCTCCTGGTGCCTGCCCCATCCCTTGCCCCCCGCAGCCTCCTGGGGTCTGTCTTCTTCTTCTCCCATGGAGCCCACCCCACCCATCTCCCCCTGCAACCCCCTGGAACATGCCCCTCCATTCACCCCCCTCTGTCCTGCTGGTGCCCGTCCCTTCCCTTGTCCCCCCATTGCCTTTGTGCCCGCCCCTCCCCCATGTCCCTCCCTCCACCCCCTCTGCTCCTGTCACCTCCCCCTCCCCTTTCCTCTCCCAGCATCTACTTGTCCCCTCCCCCGCTCCAGTGACAGCTTCTCACCCTCCCCCCGCTCCTCCTGCCCTTTCCCCTCATTGTCTCCTCACAGGCAGAGGGGCCCTGACTCCCCTCAGTCAACAACACCCCCCCCCGCAGCGATTAACGGGACGCAGGTTAATTTCCCTTTGATCCCAGTGACCAGCCCCTGCCCCCAGCCCTGACTCTGTGACTCTCTCCCCAGTGGACGTGACTCTGGATCCAGACACGGCAAATCCCCAACTCGTCCTGTCTGAGGATCGGAAACGTGTGAGATACGGAGACACACGCCAGGATCTGCCCAACAACCCTGACAGATTTGATCCTTGTTACTGTGTCCTGGGCGCTGAGGGGTTCGCGGGCGGGAGGCGTTACTGGGAGGTGGAGGTGGGAGACAACACGAGATGGGACCTGGGGGTTTGTAGGGAATCTGTGAGCAGGAAGGGGCAGGTCACACTCTCACCTGAGGATGGATACTGGGCCGTGCGGCTGTGGGATGGGGGATACAAGGCCTGCACCTCCCCCAGGACCCCCCTCCCCGTGAGCGTCAAGCCCAGCCGGGTGGGGATTTTCCTGGACTATGAGGCGGGCGAGGTCTCGTTTTACAATGTGACAGACGGGTCCCATCTCTTCACTTTCACTGGCACCTTCTCCGGGACGCTCCGCCCTTATTTCTATCCTGGTTACGATGGAGCTCCCCTGATAATCTGCCCGGTCCCAGCTCAGCCCGGAGGGAATCTCTGTCCCTGACAGTGACCCCGCGGCACAGACTGTCCCCTCCCAGCGCTGCTGCTCTTCCCGCCCCCAGTGCTGGGGGCCAGTTACTGCAGCAACTGGACTTTTTGTGCTGACCGGACGCTGCCACTTTCCCTGTTCAACTGGAGCTTCCAGTCGAAAACCGGACACCTGGGAACCCCCAGCCCTCACCTTCCCCGTCCCCTGCCCCAGGGGTAGCAGATGGTGGGGGATGGGGTCATTTACCCCTGTCAGAATTTTCTATCCCTGTGAAAGCTCAACGTAAAATATGAAAGAAAAAAGGTTATTCTAATTTAGAAAATATTATTGTAACAAGGTGTAAATACAAGA